AGACTTGAAATATAGAACAGACAAGAGGAGCAGTAAAGATGTCTGCTCTCGCTTGCAACCCGAAAATGTTTTGTTTGATATTGGCCACCTTTATTTGGCCAAGTGTGTTACACACAAGGAATTTAGGTACAGAACCGAGGCAGCCATCTGCGGCGCCAACTCACACCAATGGCTCTAACCATCGGGGGCAACTTGGGTTCAGTGTCTTGCCTAAGGACACTTCGACATGTGGACTGCAGTATATGCAGTCAATTCCAAGAGTGCATCTTCTAGAGAACAAATAGCTGAGGTCAAATCTGTGTTTTGTTGCTGCTCCCTGAGTCTATAAACTACCGCATAAAGAGAAAACTTTGTGTCTGTGTACCTGCTCCACTGCGCCGTGTGCTCATGTCAGCCACATAGCACCACTGGTCAGTGACAGGGTCGTATTCTTCCACTGTACTGAGACACTGACGGGATGCTCCATCGTAGCCTCCTACTGCATACAACTTACCTGTAGACACAAACACAGGTCAGTAAAGAGTCATCTGAATTTTAGAATTACACTGAAATGGTGTAATGGTGTTACCCAAACCATACACACATCAGTCTTACCATCAACCACCCCTACACCCACACTGCTGCGTCGGGTGTTCATGGAGGCTACATACATCCACTCATTGGTTTTGTAATTGTAGGCTTCTACTGTCGCCAGACCTGAAGAAGATAAAAACAGAGAGAGAGAGAGAGAGAGAGAGAGAGAGAGGCAAACAAATAATAAGTAACATTAATGGGTTTTTAAAAAGACTGCATGTGTGCTGATCAGTCTGTGGGTGTAAACATTTTGCATCCAGCTGGTAGGTAAGGGAAGATCAGAAAATGGCACCCCCGCTTCTTGTGTTTACCGTTAACACTGTAGTCGACCGTTGTACTACGAAAAGCAATTCAATTCTGTTCACCCTCAGCTGGTAATGGGGGAGAGAGGAAACAGACAATGATGCTAAACCATAAGGAAAAATAAATGAACACCTTGCTCACATATTTTTCACTTCCCATTTAATTTTGCTCAAACATTTATGGACTTAATAGTACATTTGTAATCAGCTGCCCTCCTGCAGCTAGATCACACCATAAAGGCTCATTCACATCACAATATTTTCCCACAGCAATTTTTAGTTCATCAATAGTAGACAGTTAAATACACTATTATCCTACTGCTAATAATAACTTTAGCCCCAATTCCACAGCCCTTTAGCATGTGGGAGTGAAGGAGTGCATTTGTGTGTACCTATACTTCCGTTAAAGCCCCCCACAGCATAGAGTAAATCCCCCAACACAGCAGCTCCCAGTGTACTGCGTCTCTCCTGCATGCTCGCGACTGCACTCCAGTGATCCCTCACTCCGTCGTACACGTCCACCGTTCGCTCCCGCAGTGAACTGTTGAACCCTCCGACTGCATACACACGGCCTGCCATGGAAACCACACCTGGGAGAAAACACAGAAAGAAATCCGTTACAAAGAAAAGCTGTAAGATCAGGTCATTACTTACAGAGAGCACATCTAGAAAATTTTAGAGAGGGTGGCCAGGCTGGGGCACAGATTCACAGAGAGGTGGCACATTTTAAATACATGTAAAATGTAAATGAACCCCCTAGTTCTATGAAATATTAAAAGCATACATTAAGAATCAAATTGTTTATTTTGTGTAAAAATGAGCCACACACAGTGCCTTCTTCAGCTAACTTTGGCTGTGCTCTTTATGTATTCCTGGGCAGGGAACAATTTTGACTCTGGCGGGGGTGGCACCACTGTTGGCCAATCAGGTTCTGAATGAAAGTTGAAACCTTTGTGGTTTTAACAAGGATAATCAATTTTTTTAGCAAAAAAACTGCACTCACGATTGCTCTGCAGCGTGGCAGTACAGGCGGCACACATATCATATATCCTGTTATTTATTAGACTCTTCTGGACTTTGGCGGTCCAAGTAGGACAACATTACCATTTGAGACAGCCCTACTGTCCATTCAGCGCTACAGTACAGTCACACACAAGCTGCATAGACTGACCTGCCCGGCAGCGCCTTGAAGGAAGATCGGCTACTTGGTACCAACGATCTTCCTGAAAGTCGTAACACTCCACGTTGCGGATCGCCTTGGGAGCCTGACCGCCAACTACAATCATCACCTGCACGTGCACAGAGCCACAGTCAGACTGATTACAGCAAGTGTGTTAACAAAAGATAACATGTGGATGTGCGTTTACATGCCTTGGGGATGCTGATAGGAGTCCGTGGTCGGGTCCTGTCTGTCTTGATGAGGTGCCGTTGGTCAGCTGGCAGCAGGTGATACTTCATCGCTTCTATGAGAAAATCTTTACAGGTGTTGTTGTTTTTTATCAGGGCCTCTTCTTCCACAATCTGAAACCGGGACACGATTTAGCCAAAGTTCACATTTATTCACTAAACTGCTTTTTCCTCATTCCTTCAACTGATAAAATGTCTTGGTCAAGTCAACAAGCATCTTCACTTACTATACAATTTCTAGCCATCTGAACAACTAAGAACCCTGACGGGCATACACCAGCCAGAGTGTGTGGTGTTACAGCCTTTATAACATTCAAGGTCCAACCTATTTCTTAGTTAAATATTTTATGCTAGGCATAATATAATGAAATAACAGTGCAAAAGGAGAACAATGAAGAAAAAGCAGAGCAGAACAGAGAAGTTATTTTACCTGTACCAGGTAATTCCTGGACAGTAGTGGGAGTCTGACATGCTCCATCAGCTTGGGCATGTGCTCCAGACGAGCTGGCTTATCATGCTTGATCCAAGCTATCATAGCCTCAAACACCTAAGAGAGTGATGAAGAGCAGAGTCAGGCCACAGTGAGGCCCTAGCAATAATTTGCAGCAGATAATTCAGCGGTATCTGTGTCTCCAGGTGCAGCCAGTTCATGGACAGTCTCTGTCTGACTGTCACACACCAGTCACCCTGACTGCCTCTGACACTTCCTACAGACAGGCTAACAGCAGACAGATATGCCATCCTCTGCAGTATGTCTGGTGTCAAGGTCAGCTAATCAGACACAGTGTCAGTATGTATACCTTCCTGCCTCCTAGTCAATTATAGCTCTTTCTCACCTTCAAATATATCTAGAATTTCTTAATCACTTTATTACGCCATGTTCTCAGAAAATCCTTCATAAACATAATTCTCACATATCTTTTTACCTACAAGGAAACAGAAAGGAGCTTTTAATAAAGGGCTGAAGCGTGTGTGTACATGGTACTCTCTGACCTTCTCCTCTGTGGACACGGTGAGTTTGTCACTGGAGATGAGGCTGCACACTTGCTGCAGAGAAAGGCCAAGAAACTCTTCTCCCTGCACCACCTCAGTGAAATGCTGCTCTGAGAGACACAAACACACAGGGTTACACGCTATGCAAACTAAATATTTTACCGAATAATCTAGAACTACAACGCCCTACACCGATCAAAGCTCAAATACGAGCATGTTTTTGCTGAAGAGATGACATGACATTTTCCAAATCTCTGGACGTGTAGCAGTTTCATTTCAGCATTTTTCAGGGCTGGCAATAATAACTGTTACATAAAAAACACCCTCACCTACCACACACACACACACACACACACACACACACACACACACACACACACACACACACACACACACACAGTGGCAAAAATGACTCAGGATTTGTGGGGTGAGGAGAGAGAAGCTTACCAGCGTATGCGTGGGCCTGACTGAGGAGCTGTGTGCATGTGTGCAGGTCAGCGAAGGCTCTGATTCCCAGGCAGTTTGTTGGGTGAAGCTGAGACTGCAGGAACTCGCAACAAACCTGACGAACATCCATCAGCTGAAGGAGACTTGCTGCTGGCAGAAGAACCTGCAAAGATGACCTACAATCAGTTAAAAACTCCAGCTGCATTTTACTGGTGGAAGGACCTGATGGAAGGAAGTGACTTTGTGACTCTGTATTCTGGGTCTATTTACATGTAATACCATGGTAGAGCACAGTTATTTACCACCCACCACCTTTGGATTTAGGAGCATTTGTGGAACAAAGACAGTTTGCTGTTTACCAACACAACCATTCCAAATGCAAAAATCTCATGGTTTCAGCAGTCTTTCCAATGAGTAGGTTAGTTATTTAACCAGTTCACCAAGTAGTTAGCTCACAATCAGTCCAGAAAACCAGCCCAGAAGCCAACCATACTAGTCCTCGATGTTGACATTAATGTCTCAGTGTGTCCAAGCTATAAAAACATGCTGCAAATTTTATACAGCTCTGTTAACAACAAATAATATACAATTGGCCAAGAGGGCAGCCGTGTCAGGTATCTGTGTGTTTTACATCACAATAAATGAACATATCTGGAGTCTCAGTGGGTACAGTGATATTTGGTTGCATGTGTAAAACAGACCACACCAAATTCTATGTCATCTGCCAGCTAGAAGAAGACAAAGAACAAATAGCATTAAGACTGTGATTTGAGAGCAAATACTGTGTGAGACTGTGTTCACTTAAACCCAAGGATGTACCGTAAACTGGTGCTTTCCTTATAAGCTGCATTACTACCCAAAATATTGTTATACAAACATTTGTGAAATTGTGATGCTAACAGACAAAGCTACCCTTAGATACATCACTCATATTAGTTGAACTAGGTCAGTCTGTGCCTGTCTGCACAATGACTCATCCTCTGAGTGAGTAGTTATTGTCTCCTCTGTTTTCCAGATGCCCTGATGTCTTATGTCTTATAAAAGACCTGCTGGAGCTATGCTTACAGCAGCTGTGACACACTAACACACAGAGTACAGCACAAGCAATACATATTCTACAGTGAAAACATGGTTTGAAGAGATGAAAAATAAATGCAGTTTTTTACTGAATATGAGCACACACACCACACATTTACAAGTGAGCCTATCAAGCGGGCACGATGATAACAGCGGGAGGATTTCCTGCCTATCTGGCTGCACACTTCCTGTGCTAACAATAAGAGGAAGTATCCTGCCTGCAGCTTGATCCTGGTGCATTTATTCAACCCCTGAGCCATGCAGCTTTTAGAAGTTAATGCTACTGAGACAAATGAGGCCTCAATCTTGTGGATTTACAGCAGAGCACTGCTCACAAACTTTACCAGCTCTTTCATCTCATGTAGCGAACATCTGCTCTTCAGGCAGGTTCACTTTGGCCTTTCTGAAATTTAACAGAAGAGCCAAAGAGTTAAAGCAGTCAGGGCTTGAGAGGACAACGTCTGTTATGACAAGCAAAAATAGCTTTTAAATCATTCAGTAGAACGCTTTTATTCTATTGAAACTTCAGCTTTGTGGTTTTTTCCCCTCTTCTTTTGTCCGCACTTTGTCTCAGAGATTTTTTTCCACTTTACTGCCTAAAATATAAATATATATAAACATTCATACAGTTTACTGTAGTGGAATTCTGTTGGCTAGCAGCCTTCAAATATTGAAAAAGAAAAGGATCTGCACTTTCACCAACTATATTTTTATTTTGCTTGTGTTCTTTTATCTAAAAGTTCACTCCACACTGACAATAACTAGTTATCAGACCAAAATGGCTAACATATGATGTCAGTCTTTTTAAAGCAAATCCAGGCTTATAAACAGAAAAAGCAGAAGTAAAAACAGAACATACTTTTACCCCACACACTCCCTTCCTCCTTGCTCTCACTTATCATAAACACTCCTTAAAATACACAGACACTCTCTCACCTGGACGTTGTCCTCTGTGACCTCGACTTCAGCAGTGTAGATGTAGTCAACAAGTTTTCTCAAAGTCTGACCATCTACCTCTCTGATCTCCACCTGATAGGCCTTGCTCTCACTCATATCTCCTGTATAAACAGAAACACACACAGTCAAGCATATACCACAGACAGACATCAGGCAAACAACCGTGTATGTGTACCTGTGAACATGGCACAGAAGTAGGGACTACAGGACGCCAGCACCACCCTGTGAGCTGGTACTTGAACGTTCCCTGCGATCAGCTGGACATCACACAGCATCTTTTTACTGAAAAGTGGCAAGTAGCACAGAAAGAGATAGCACTTGTTATCTGCATGTACCGCAACTAGACTATCTGCCATGATGTTTTATAAACTGTCTTAATTATTCATCTAACTTCAGTACATTATACTGTTTGTGCTGGAGATGTTTTAGGTGGACTTTGGTGTTCAGAAATTCTACAGTTCCTCTTCAGGTAGAAGTAATTCACTGTTGTAATGACATTTTCAGACAGGCGAGATGAACCAAAGATCCATCCATCCATCCATTATCTATACCGCTTATCCTGAAGAGGGTCACAGGGGGGCTGGAGCCAATCCCAGCTGCCATTGGGCGAGAGGCGTGGTACACCCTGGACAGGTCGCCAGTCCTTCACAGGGCTAACACTTAGAGACAGACAACCACACACACCAATATTCACTCCTACAGACAATTTAGTCACCAATCAACCTAAGCTGCATGTCTTTGGACTGTGGGAGGAAGCCAGAGTATCCAAAAAGAACCCACACAGGCACAGGGAGAACGTGCCCGGCTTGAAACTGGAACCTTCTTTGAACCAAAGATGACTTATTTCTGACTTACAAAGCTAAGCACAGTCTATTCACTCATATACCAAAAACTGGTAAAATATACCTATGTATTCGTTCTACTGGGACAAACACCACCATTAGACACACACCTCCTCAGGTCATTCATCAGCTGAAAAGCTTTCCTCATGTGCGTCTGGTCGAAGGTGTGCATTCCTCCAGTCACCGTGTCCTCTTCTGAGTCCGTGGTGAGGTTTGGACGCGGTGATGCTGGTGTGGCCAACAGACTGATAAGACATAATAGGCAGTGTCTGGATTAAATGGAATAGAAGGTAGCCTAGCAGGCTAGGCTTCATAGTTAATCTTTAGAGCTACAATAAGAGGATGGGTTAATAACTGGTAAGAAGAATTCCACAAATAAAATCATTTTGTCACTGCTCTGCTATACCAACTTACATAGGATATGAGGGTCTGTCTTTTGGCATGATATAGTGTCCGCCAGCTATTTTTGAACCCTTATATGATAACACTGACCCATCCTACTTTAAAGAATAAGATTGGTTATTTCCTATATTAACTGTGAATCTACAGGGGATGTTGAAAATACCATTAACATAAAAAATGACTGACCTTATCTTTTAAAAATCATAGGTTTGTGGTGATGTGCTTTGGTTGCCATGTAACTCAGATTCTGCTGCAGAGCATGCACACTGTACTTTACAAAAAATATTTTATATACAAACAATCCAGTCAGATTTTTTTTATATGGGGGGTTAAAATACTATATAGGTAAACAGACACATAAATACAAATGGCATAACATCACAAAAAAATCCAAAGTGGTGTTTTCAAAAAGCCAGGACTATTCAGTTTGATACTGTACATAACAAAGGCAGCAAATCCTGCCATTTGAGAAGGTAAACCCTGGGCATGTGTAGGAAACTAAATACACAATTGTTAATTTTATTATTTTAATAAAGCAGCATGACCACACAGAATAAACCTTATGTTTCTCCAATCCATGAAAAATTCCTCCAACCTTGGAGGATACTTTAAGTTATTCAGCTTTTAACCAAACATAAGGTGAACTGAGCTGAGAGCAGGTGGGAAGCAATAAATGTGACCCAGATAAAAGGATATAAAGAGATGTGAGTGTCTTATGTTTGTTTGAAAAGGCCTGACTTTATTCATTGTCTGTGTAATGTACTGTATCTGGACTAGCTCATAATGTCCACAAAAATTGTTTAAAAAAGCAGGACATAGAAGCCATGGGGACATGATGGTATATCAGAGGGACACGACTGCAGCACTTAACAGTTTACAGAAAGCTCGTCTCTTTGTGTCCAAACGCCAAAATGAGGTAGTAGTTGTTTTTTTTACTTTGTTTTGCATCAAGTTGTCGGGTTGGCTAGCCCTTAGCGCGGCTAATTGTTTAACTTAATTGCAACCATAAAGTGATAGTGGCTGCCGTTCACTGTCCCAAAATAGATGCTTAAATCGGAGGCAGTCCACACCCAGTCCACAGTCTCTTAACTTAATGACAGTTCCCCATTGTCTACAAGTAAACTTGCTGTTAGCAAGTTAACGACTGCTGAGTAGCGGACGATGCTAGCTAACCTATCTAAGCTAACGACTGAACAAAGCTAGCTTCAGTTCGTGTACTAAGAACGAACTCCTTTGACTGTCTATGTGTTGAATTCTTGGCCGGTGGATCATGTGGGGTAAAATGTTATTCAACACATGTAGAAGCCGCGTTAATCGCGTCTTTACAAAATAATCCCCTACCGCTCAGACAACTCACCCCAGCGACACACCGTCCATCCTCTCGCTCGGAGTCCGAGAGCACCACAGGCATGAGCCCTGTTCTGCCACGCACAGCTCTTCTATTGCGAAGAGGAATGACTACACAGTTTGAAAACAGGCGCAGGTATACGTTGTTTAGTATTCTAGTATGAGTGACGTAAATGGATTAGGGTTAACGGACGTACCGGGGACAGGCCTGGAAGCCCAAGGGATCAGGAAGCCCCTGGAATAACGTATGTGTGAAGTGACTGTTAACATTTTTTGTTAATGATTTAAAGTGGTATTTATCCACTTTCAGCATCACATTTTATTCTAGCAGTACACCTTTGCTTTGGTTTTAATAGACATTTGATGGCGAGACTGTGTCTGTCAGTCACTTAGAATACTACCGTTGGTATACAGTACAAAGCACTGAATGGTTTAGACTCGATATATTTTATCTGGTGCTACAAACTGTCCAGACCTCTAGGATGTCAAGGGACTGGTCTGTTAATTCTCCACAGAGTCAAAACCAAGAAACAGTACTCAGATTTTATGCATCACACAGTAACTTCCAAAAACGTGGTCTATGTCAACTCTGTTGTCTTTAATTGAACGAAATCCACACACACACACATATATATATATATATATATATATATATATATATAGAGAGAGAGAGAGAGAGAGAGCCTTGCTTCTTTGTCTTCTCGGTAACTTTTGTACTCTCAAATGGGGTCAGCGTGTGAGGTTATACCATTTTCTTCTGCCAGAGGCATGAAGGCTGCCCATACAAACGAATGGCTCCTAAAAAGACACTTCAAGAAAATGAACATTTTGTGCACCTCATCTGAAACTGCATTTTAAAGGGGTAATTGGTTGAAATGTTTGAGGATAAATAACTTCAATGCAAGTATTTTAAATATGTGAATTGCTTTCCAACACTGCAATTAAAAAAGGACAAAGTAAATAAAATGGTAGCGCACACAGCTTCTTCACAGCCACCTCCGGTCTCATCTATCCCTATAAAATGGCCGATGAGCTAGAAATACATAAGCAACGCTCCCTCCTAGTGGTAGTAGTAGTGAACTCAATTTACAAGGTTATAGGAGGCATGATAAGATTATCCATAACGCAGTGTGCTGAAAAGACACTGCAGGAGTCGAATCAAGACTGCGACATTAGATAGTGTTTCAAAACATTAAAAACTTTAATAAAAGCAGAATAAAACATAGGGGTGAACTGAACACATGGATTTCCATTTTAATCTAAACAAGTCTGCAATGGGACGGGAAAAGTAATTTACAGATAACAAAAACAGTCCGATACATTTCTCCAAAAATACTTATCACAAAAGTGTCTAAGATCATGAAACTCAAGAACTCGAGCCCCATGCTGCCGGACACTGCCACCAACTTCACTTAAACCCTGAGTTCATGATGCAAAAAAAAATATATAATAAAAATAAAGAAAAAAGAAAACAACTGGTTTGCAAGACAAACACACAAGTCTTGAGTTGAGAAGCAGTGGCTGACATTGATTACGGCCTCACAAATGGTACAAAACAAGCAATTTCCCCAACACAAACTTACAATTCAATAATTCACAATTCTTAGAAGTAAAGTCCACAATATGTGGAATAAGAGGAGAGATGGGATCCGGGTGGAGAGAGCCAGTGTGCCGAGTGGTGCTCCCATTAACTAGCCCCTTATCCCCCACCTGGCCTGTGTAATGTGTGTGTATAAAATGAAGTTCGTTGTAATCAGAAATTTCCCTATGATTATCCCCCAAAACACAAGGGAGCCACTAATACCCGCCGCTAAATCCACCACCCCGGCCGTAGCCGCCAGCACCTCCGCCGCCTCTGTTGTAAGGGGCCCCGCTCCTGTAGGTATAGTTGCCCCCCTTCATTGCACCATAACTGGAGTGCTGCTGTTCATACCCATCCCCAAAGTCACCATTACTGTATCCACCCCCCATCTGGCTGTCGTAATCCTCGTATCCCCCATATCCACCGTAGCCTCCACCACCGTTGTAACCCCCGCCATAGCCGTAGCCTCCTCCGTAATTGCCGCCGTAGCCTCCTCCATAACCACCACCCCCTCTTCCACCGCCATAGTTTCGCATCCCTCTTCCGCCTCCTCGTCCACCGGTGGACATCTCCTGCTTGGTCAGAGCTTTTTTCACCTCCACCTTGTTTCCATTGATGGTGTGAAACTTGGTCAGCACCGCTTTGGTGGCGGAGTCAGTGTCCTCAAAGAAGACAAAGCCGAAGCCTCTCTTTCTGCCGGTCTGCTTGTCAGAGATGATCTCGGCTTTCTCCACCGCGCCGAACTGAGAGAAGTACTCGGTCAGGTTCTCCGCCTCGATGTGGTCTTTCACGCCGCCAACGAAGATTTTTTTAACATTGGCGAGGATGTCGGGGTTGTTTGCATCCTCTCGTGCTATGGCCCTCTTCAGTTCCACGTTGTTGCCTTCGACGACATGTGGCTTAGCCGCCATTGCTGCGTCGGCCTCGTCTGGTGTCGAGTAGGTGATAAAGCCGAAACAGCGAGACCGTCCGAGTTGCTGGTTCATGACCACAACGCAGTCGGTGAGCGTACCGTACTGCTCGAAATATGAGCGGAGTCCAGCATCAGTGGTCTCCACGTTCAATCCTCCGACAAACAGTTTACAAAGTTTGTTCGTCATGGCTGATATTGGTAAACTGAGAACGAGACAACTGACGCTCTTTTTTGACGTTGGGGCGGGCTGTTGGACTAACTTGCCTACGTAAGACGTACACCCGTCGATGATTGGTCATCTTGAAAAAATCACCACCCACATTGGCTAGCGAAATTCACGTCGTTGGTGCTGCTACCTTCAAGTGGTATTGGAAATCTTGCTTTCAAATGCTCAGGAGAAACTGAAACCATGGTTTATGGCCTTTGTTCTATAACAGTACAAAATGCATTAATAAGGCTATGTTCCAGTTAATTTAATTAAATATATTGTACTGACTACAACCACGGAACGCGGCTACACAGCCAAATGAATCCTTAATTATAACAACCATTAGGCTTTCATCACTGTAAAACAATAGCGGGATTTACCATTGTAGCAAAGTCAAAAGATTTTAAATTGCTTCTATTCTCATTGGGACAGTTTACTAGACCGTTTTAGACCAGAACTCAAATTCCATTTCGACCACCAATTAAGTGTCCAAACAGTATTCCAACATGTAGCGACTGTAGACACCTAGAATGCAGCAAAAACAACTTGGGACCTATCGTGATTTATTAAAACTGCAGCTAACCTAGCTAAAAAAATTGTGTTCAAAGTGCTTCGAAATTAACAGAACGTCGTCCAGCTGTTTAATTTAGGACCGGGATAACTGGTCACGCTGGTCTTGTACCCATGGAAAAATGATACAAGGAAGTGCCAACACAGGTGTCCACAACAGGAACCATTAAGTTCATTTATCATTTTCTTTGGATTGAAACTCCTCATATTGTATGTTTAATATGCTCTGTGGCTGTGAACCTCACAGATATTTTGGCTTCAATGTACATCGATTCACATCTCAGATCAAAGTTAAAAATGTGAAATGTAGTTATTTCAATGTTTAAACTACTGTAACAATGTGATTTAACCCTAATAAGTGCTGACATGACCAAATTTTGGCCTATACTGTACATCAACTGGTTACGTGAAATCAGTGCTTTCACAATAGATGAAACTCCCCCCTGGCTGCTGTTCAAGTTGCTTCTCCAAATTAGTTCAGAGAACCTAAACGACATGAAAGCATGTTGCAACATACTGCAGATCAGGGTGTACCTAGCCTCTCACCCAACGTCAGATGGGATTGGCTCAGCCCACCATGACCCTCTTCAGGATAAGCGGTCTAGATAATGGCTGGATGCCCATGATTCAAGCAACTACTATGTACTTTTTTCTTATAAACAGCTTTGTGCCCCAGAAAAGAGGGGAGAAAAAGACAAAACCCTTCCTTTTGTCATTTGGTTCAAATTTAGCACCAACTCCTAAAGATGCTATTTATTCAACTCTGCATGGTAGAATGTCACCCCCAACAGCACCACAAAGCAATCTTTAATGATTTGATGTGATACGCTGGTCTCACACTGTTCCACAAACAGCTGAAACAGTGCCCATAGACAGCAAATCCCCCCCCCCAAAAAAATAACTGTGCTACCATCAACCTTGTACAAAAAAGGTCCTGCAGTCAAACTGTCTTCAATGTAAAAGAGCAACAAGTCTTTGTGTATAAAAATATATAGGTTTATTGTGGATCATTAAAAGCATGAACAGATGTTTTCTTCTCCAAGACGATTCGAAGCATCATTATCCTATAAAGGCAAGAGAACAAAAGTAAAATTTACACATCATTGTCAAGCATCAGTCATGTCGTAATTATAAACATGTTGCCTGATGCATCACTGTACACCAACAAATCGTCAAGGAATGTGCGTTCCCTCACAGTTAGTTATGTACACATAACACCAGTTTCATCTTCTCTATAACCTCTAGAGTCCTGAGCTTTGGAAACCCAAGCTGTGCGGTCCTCATATGAGGACGCAGGGACTCTAGAGGTTAAATGCACTAAAACAATTACTTTGTTACCTGTAAACCTGTCAGTCAAAAGACCTGCAGGCCCTTTTAACATTTATTAAGATGCACACTTTGGACAAAACAAGGGCCCAAAAATGTCCCAGGTGGTTTGCAGGCAGGTTTTGGCGGGGCATTTATTAACTGCACATTAATGCTTTTACTACCCAGCCTACAGGACTGCAAAAGCATACAAGTTAATAATTTTCCTTTCCTTTGGCCAAAAACAATTCTGCAGACAGATGTACATTGATATTTTGGAGCTTCCTGCTCATTATGACTAAACCCACAAAACATTATGGAATCAAAAACACCAAAAACAAAATCAAAAATAGTCATTGTATCGTGTCACAGTGCCCAGAACGCAAAAGTTTTAAACCTCATTTCCAATCTGGGGGGCCCAACCTACATGCGAGATCCAGGATTACAGAAAAATTTCAGTATTAGTTCTTCTAGTGTTAAAGCGAATACTATAATAATTAGTAAAGTAGGCTTTAAATCTATCAACCTAAAAGATATCCACATTAGACCCCAACTCATGGGTTATGAGATAATGCTTCTTTATAAGGAGTCGTGGGCCAAAGGTTTGAAAGCCCCTTTCAGTCAACATCAGTAAGAAACTGTGCCAATCCCCAGGAAAACAAATTTCACGATTGCACTCGGGCACCATTTTAATCAAAATTCTCCCAAACCAGAACCCCACCACATAATCTTCAGTATAACCTGTAATGTGCATTTTGACCACACTGAGGAATCCCTCATGAAAACAGACTTCACCTGAGGGGAAGGCGGCACTCTCTGGTCCCCCTGTCAGCTTGGAGACACGCACCCCATCTCTTTCAGGGGTGATGTCCTCATGTCCAGGTTACCATAGCAACCTGGGAGAGACGGGAGAGAAACAGAGTGAGAAACCAAACAGTGCAAGGTCTTCTGGAGGAGACACCAATTTACTCCTTCCAATATTTCATATAATGGAACAAAACTTGGGTCCCCTTCCACCCACTTAAGGACCAAATTAAGTATCCCCCTCCCCCCTTTATTTTGAGTTTAGCTACATAAAAGGTGCATCGAGCTATGTTTAAAGTTGTCACTTACGATGTTGAAGATTAAATAAGGGCACACACCTGCACCATCTTAGAGATATTCCATACATGGTTCAGCAACAGAGTGAAGACAGGTTGATTTACATACCTAGTTTGCTGGATGTGGATATCCTAAAGAGATATTTCAGACTCCTATCACAATCGACCCCAGGTAATCAACAGGGTCTTGATGTAGCCTACAAACAAACTGCTACGGCTATTTTGGCTGGGATAGCCTACAGGAATACGAGTAAGAACACCTAAATGTAAGAATAATCAAAGATAAATATCACAGCCCTCATGTAGATGTGTTAAAATACGTAAAGAAAAATATAAAAAGTCATGTTAGCAATGTCCACAACTTTAAAAACAAGGTCAAAGCCTACATGCATTGGCTGTGGGTAGACTCCAACCATTTCACCCACCTGAGAGTAATGGAATAAACTGTGGGAAAGATGCCATGTAACTAAAGATCAACAAGATGAAGTTGCTTATAAAACCTGTGGATAAACTTGAGGAAGCCTGGTTAAATAAGTAAAATAACTAAGCTAAGTGGTATAACGCTTTATTTAAAATGAACATACATAAGCATACCAAAGTGTTTTAACAGTAGGTGTTGTTCTCCAGACATGAAAGTATACAATATACATTAGATATAGCCACAGGTAAATGGAAAATGAACAATATTTAGACTGAAATTATTACTATGCCTGAGGAGAGTTTGAGTACAGTGCGGGTAAGGAAACAAAGGAAATTGGATCCTGCAGTATCACGTCCCTGCTTTTGATGAACCAAGTCAATGATTATACAAACTGATGTTACCAGTCATACATAGGCTATTAAATCCAAAACCACATCGACATGCGTTCTCATCCTCATACATTGAAATCACTAAATTTACTCAAGAAAACAAACACTAACTGCTTAAAAAATGTAAATATTAAGATAATGAAAACAATATCGAAATTTCCAAAACGAGTTAACGCAAATAAAAAAAAACCCAACTCTAGACGACAACTACATAAAGAGGGTCACCGAACTTTTTTTCTTCATGTTAATGTGTCCTAGTTGAACGGCAACAACAGCTGCTCGTTATTATCATCAGGTTTTTTTGGGAAGTGACCTTCCTACCTGTTTGGATTTTTGAGGCCTTCATTTTGATTAGGGGGGTCTCTGTGTCCGTATCTCTGCCATGGTTGGATTTCACGGCAGACGCCCCGTAACTGAATTTGAGTTTCGGCGTCCAAATCCTGGCTGGAGGTCATTTGTGGCATGGGGATGGGTGGTTGACTTTGTATTATGCAGTCTCAGTAGCCGCCGCCATAGCCCCCCCTCGGGTAGAAACCACCGCCGCCGCCTCCTCTGCTGTAGGGTGCAGCGCTCCTTTGACCGCCGAAGGGTGGCCCTTTCATGGGGCCATAACCAGAGGACTGCTGGCCATACCCACTGCCAAACTCGTTGTAGCCATTTCCGCCACCGTAGCCACTTCCCTGGTCTCCATAACCACCACCACCATAAGGTCCGCCATACCCTCCGTAGCCGCCACAGTTGTAGCCTCCGCCATTTCCGTAGTTGTAGCCTCCGCCGTAGTCTCTGCTGCCGTAGCCATTTTGATTTCCCCTCATGCCTCTCCCCGGTCTGCCTCTTGGCGCCATTGTGGTTCTGTTGGCGGCCTGCATCTCCTGCTTGGTCAGGGCTTTCTTCACCTCAACTTTATGTCCATTAACTGTGTGGAACTTCACCACAACCGCCTTGTCGGCTGCGTCGTGATCGGTGAAGTAAACAAAGCCGAACCCCCTTTTCTTTCCGGTCTCTTTGTCTGAGATGACTTCGGCCTTTTCGATTTGGCCATACTGGGAGAAGTATTCGGACAGATGTGCTTCTTCAATATCGTCTTTCAGGCCTCCAACGAAGATTTTCTTCACTTTTGCGAGGGCTTCGGGTTTGTTGGCGTCTTCTCTTGCCACGGCCCGCTTCACCTCGACCGCGTTGCCGTCGACGGTGTGCGGCCTAGCCGACATTGCTGCGTCGGCCTCCTCCGGTGTGGAGTAGGTCACAAAGCCAAAACAGCGGGACCGCTGTAGCTGCTTGTTCACGACCACAACACAGTCGGTAAGCGTACCATACTGCTCGAAGTGCTTGCGCAAGCCATCATCGTCGGTGTCTACGTTCAGTCCACCGACGAAAAGTTTACAAAGCTGATCAGTCATCTTTGAAAAACGACGAGCTAAGGTTACTGTATAAGATTAGCACTCCGGTGATCTCAAAATGGCTGCGGTGAAAACGTGCGGAAGTATTTATAAGAGAGACGCTATGACGACAGAGCAGCATGGAAATCGGCACCACCTCTTCCGTTACATGTTTGGTTCTTTTGCACCATCTACCACAAAACGTTTCTCCTCTTAAAACAAAAGAATGAGTGTCACTTATATAAGAATACTTTTTGTGTTATGACGCACAGTTTGGCAGGACGGTTTTAAGCTGTTCTTTGACATCGCTTTTTCCTGAATATCTGGCATGAAGTCACAGGCACGGACACCAGTAATTCTAACAAAAGGGAAATCGTTATTGTGCAAGGAGCCCAAAGAGCTGAGAACCATTGTGCATTAAGTTCGAATGTTTGATTCAAGTTGTTGATTATTAGCCTGTATAACATATTTCATGATCAAGTGATGATTTAAGTAAATTTAGGCGGACATTAACTGGTTTAATTTTCTCAAACTTGAGTATTGGCTGCTTTTGTCAGTTTTATATCACTGTATTTTGAATATCCTTAGGGTTTGGACTGTTGGGTCATTTTAAGATATTGAGCTCTTGAAACTTGTAACAGACATTTTATAGACTAAGCAATGAATACACAAAATACTTGACAGAGTAACCAATAACTGTTAATTCTTTGCAGACCCCTAAAGCCCTCTGTATTTTATGTGAAATAAAAGGCATACACCAAATCCTGTTGGTGGCCAATTCCTTGTCTTTGGAGGAAAACGTAATTTGCATCCTGGTGACACTGCAAAATCAAGGTTATTTTTTTTTACTGATTTTAGTTTTTCAAAAGAACTAAAGATCCGAAATTCGGTTGCACTGCCAAATCTGATCAACTTTGTTCATTTATCTTGCTTGTTACCCTGAAATCCATGGACAAATAAGTGATTAACACTACAGTGTTTTACCATCTGTAAACGTGCTTTTCATTGCTAGGCCATAAATGACCTCATACAGAAAGGTGACCTCTTCAGACCACAGAGATGTAGTTTCAGATGACAACACTTGGATGCATTTACATGTCAACACCTACCAGAGTTTATGGTAAGACTGATTTTATAGCCCACAGAGCAAAGTAGATGTCGCAAATAAACACTGAAATCCATATTCATTTAACTTTTTATGAAGCATGTTGCTCATAAAACAACCCTGTGATCATTTTACCACTAAAAGTCAGTATCTTTATAGATACATTTGCAAAACATTAATAGACAAAAATGAGGATTCTTCTGGTATGTCAATAAACAACAACTGGAAGAGTCACTAAACAAGACCTATCACATTTAACATAAAGTTGAATTTCTGGATTGCCTTGCATGGGAGTTTGGAGTTACAATTTTACATTTTAAGTACAATTTCTGCATTGGTTAACACTAAAGTCAGCCTTCATGCCCTATTAATCCACATTCCAGATTTGTGCATTATCTTTTGTTCACACTCCCAGCACATCCATCTTCCAGATGGTCATAAAGGTGACGATGGGTGATTTTTCAGATGAATAAGAGCAGTTTTTCCTGTTTGCAGCAAAAGGCAGAAATGTTCAACCAACAGCCTAGGTTTCTATCGTCATGCATTTTTTTTAAATATCTGAAGGAATTTGCATTCAACTGCATGAAATGTTGATGAAACTACTTTATTTTAATGCTACATTAATTCTGTACAGTGTCGGTGCTGCTAGCAGCTTTAACATATGCAGAGTATAAGAGAAAAATATCGACACAGTCCTTCACTTTATTATCTTGTTCACTGTTGGATGCTATGAAATTAAAACTATGTGCAGCGCTGAATGAACCAAAATCACCCAGGTTCATCTTTAAACAGATAAAACATCCTAAATGGACTGAAATGTATTCGTTCTTCAGCTGGGTAGAAAAATTTTTAATTGGTTTAATGGAGCTGAAAAAGGCAAACCTTAGACAAAAACAGGAACATAAGAGATGGTTGTCTTGTTAGAAGATTGTGTAAACTTCTTTATGGTACCAAATACACCATAATTAATATTTTCCAAGCTCATAAAACTAACCACCACCTCAGTAATGAGAAGTGGTACTAAACAAGCCATTAACGTGAAGATACTGTGCTATATCTGGTTTTAAACACCCAAGAAAAGACCTTTTCAAGTCACACAGCAACCTTGGTAGAAGATTAACCTTCATTGTCATTACCTGTCCCCAAAACCCTTGATATGTAGTACATGAGAATGATCAATTCCTAATATTTACATTTGAATAGGATCTTACTGCAGCCTAGGCTCCACTTTCAGTTTGGGGGGTGGGGGATGAAGAATGTAAAAACCTAGGCAGGTCAATGTATAACCCCCAAAAAACAAACTAGAGGACAATTAGAAGATAACTAGAAGGCACGCATCACATGCTCCCGTGAGACCAAGCCACCTGGTTTGTTGTGAAAAAGGCCCATATCTCATGTGTTAATCTCGTTAATGGAACCAGTTAGGATAGAACACCACTTGCAAAAGGAAAAAAAGTCAAAGTAACCTCAACAAGTTTTTATTTCTTGTAGTAAAATCAAACATCTGGCTAGCAGTTTGTCACCCCCTCAGTCCCCTTCTTCCGTCTCTAATGTTCAAAGTGAAAGAAGGCATGTAAAGGAATTACAAGGCTGACAGCCCATGTGCTTGAATGGAGCAAATCAAACCACCTCTAGCCACATCTAAAACAGAGTCTGAAAGGAGGAGAGTCCGGTTTCTGTGAGATAAATGGAAAGGGGGGGGGGGACACT